TCGGAGCGGGCGAGCGGTGCAGCACCCTTGCCAACTGGCAGCAGTAGCACAGGCTTGGGGCAGCCTGCTGCTACTCTGATGAGTGACAGGATCCTGGCGATTGCCCTGTCCAGCTTTTTAATGTTACCACACCCCAGAAATTCAGGGGAAAGGTGGAATTTGAAGAGCGTTATTAAATAGCAGCAGCTTCCCTGGGACAGAGCTGGAGGGGAAGAAACACTAGGTCAATAACTAGGGCTTTGCAGAGCAGAGGCTTTTATGAAAAAGTTTTCTTATCCCTTCAGGGCAGGTACAAATTAACTGTCTAGCTCTGTGCTTGTGTGTTGTGCCCCGGGCCCCCTTCTTCCCACTTAAGTACAGCAGCTTGACGGTGAGGAAGAGATCATCGGGAAAGATCCCTTGAGGCTGTTGATTGTCATGCAGCCTCTCCTGGCTCTCTGCCATAAGTAAATATTTAGTTTAATACCTAAGCGGTGGCTGTGACAGGTGCTACAGTACTGATGTGCAAGCACTGACAAGTTGGAGGGGGAGCAGCAGCAGTGGACTTGAGATGGCCTTTGCACTCCACATGCAGCTTGTTTGCAGAACACTTTGGGGGGCCTATTTTTTTCTTTTCCTCATGCCTTAACAGCCCTGCTTTCTCTGAGCCATCTTCTCCCCTGCTGAATTCAGTGTTGAAGAAGTGGCTGTGAAGTGATGAAATGATCTTTAGGGAGTTCAGTAGATGATGTACGTGCCCACCCCTGTTCAGGGAGGATGGAAGAAGCACACCAAAGAGATAAGTAGTCGCTTCTAGTGCGGTCTTTGAAAATAAAGAAGTGCAGATATAAAGTACTCAACCAAATCTTTCCCCACACTTCATGGTTACAGGGATGTAGAATGGAAGCAACCAGCTGTTTCTTTAGTGAGTATTGCTTTCCCTTTGTATGAGAGTCACCTTTTGTGTGGAGGCTTAGCTACCTAGACAGTTTTAGTATGTCTAGAGGAATACTTTTTATCTTCCTGATATCAGGAAGATATTTATCCCCTGAACTCAGAGGAGAGATGGAGTCCCTGAAATAACAGAATACTTCTGGAATCTCCTGTGAAGTGTGGGGAGATCACCAGAGACAGCGTTTTCTACAAACTTAAGCACAGGTCCAGCAGCTGTTCTGTGTAATCTCGCTGGCTTGTGTGGCCCTAAAGGGAAGGGGTAGGACCTTTCTTGCCTACTGAAATGACATTTATATGTTTATGTTGTTGCCAAGAAGAGAACAGCTTGCTATACTTAGGTTGCCTGTTTGGGCTTAAGCTTCCATAGGGATGTTCTGAAGCTCCCACTCCTCAGACTTCACAGTGTTTATAGTTAGAGAAACATACCATTCAAAATTCTGTTTCAGAACAGCATCTGGAAACAAATGCAACTGCCAACTTCATAAAATGCTGAATCGCCACATCTAATGGTGTGGCTATGTATTACTGAATTACTAGTGTAGTGATGCTAGGAGCAAGTTTGACATTGCTTATGGTGGAGAGCCTGGAAACTTTCTGTGACTGCTGGCAGTGATTATGGGGCTGATAAAGTGTGATGCAATATGATATCTGTCCTAAATGAAAATGCCACCCTATTAAAAATAAACTCTCCGGAGGCTGTGACAGAGTATGGTGGGCACCTTAAAGATTAGTGGACTTTTACAACAGTGATTCTAAACTGGTTCCTGAACCCTCGGCCATCAACATGGCTGTTACACGTGGCCTGCAAGTAGTCTGTGGACCAGCCCTAATGAAAGGGAACTGGTGAATTATCAACTTCATGCATTTGTATTGCTAGTTTTAAAAGTGTTTGAGGGTTGGCAGCAATCTCTTGACCTAGAAGCTGGAGAATCGTGTTAGTGTAGGTTTCCTGTAATAACTTGAATATTATTCCTAGAAGTTGAGAAGTACAAAGCATGGACAATCCCACTGGCAAAGAGGTGTGGTCACTCTGTGGTATGTTTTCAGGCTGGCTGCTTTGGTTGAAATATCTCAGTAACTTTATAAGATTTAGCAATGGAAACAAAAAGACCAAAAAAAAAAAAAAATCTGAAAGGAATTAGCTGTGATCTATGGAGAATAATGCTGCCTGGCAGGTTTCTGACCTTCTTTGAAGAGAGGGACCTGCCGATGTTGAAGGAACTTCAGGTTTTTTTCCACTCTGTGGATAGAGTAGGGGGTCTTGCTAATGGATGCAATTGCAACAGCCAGTCTGTATGACTGCATCAGATTGATTAGCTGGGTTCTGGTTACTGCTGCGAGTGGTGATTATGCCAGTACAGCTGCTTTCTCTTTTTATGTACTAATTACCACACGCACAGATGTCATCACCCTTAACACTGCATGGAGTTGTCCCATTAGCGTGGGAGTGGGAAGCAGCAGGGGAGGGGAGCTCTTCGGCGTGACAAGCTGTTTAGAAGTGAATGGAGTGGAGTGATGAAGCAACTATTCTTACGCAGAATTTTTAAGCCATCTTGTCTTTGAGATTCTGCCCTCAGCCAACATTTTTGCAGGTTGTCAGAACCAGACCCATGTCCTTGGCAGCACTTTCCATGGGGTGCTATTTACTGCAAAGCACCTGGATGCTGAGCTGTAGCTAGCAAGTCTTGCCCCTTGACGTGGCTGGTTGCAGAGCCTGTGGGACAGCAACTGTGCAAACTGACCTGCCGGTGGCGGAGAGCTTGCGGCTGTCCCAGGAAGGCAGCTTCTCTAGCTGTGATACCTTGCAAAGGCATTCTCAGAAGAGAAACCGTTTGTTTCAGAGTTGCCAAAGAAGGATGTGATGGAAAACCCTTGCAGTTCTTGAGAGATTTGGAATGCTTATTTTATGAATTTATGCTCCCAGCTCTGGCAGACCCCCTCCCTTTCCCCTCCTTCCTCCTCCTCCTCCTCAAAATCCAGTCTCCCCATCTCAGAGTGTACCATAATCTCCATGGTAACAGGTGTTACCATCGTACATCTGATTTTTTTTCCCCTCTTCTTTTTCTCCTCCTGCCCCCCCCCACCCCCTAGCAAGCAAGGCGGGAAGGGAACGGGGCAGACAGGACAGAGATGGCTAAGAGCTAGATAAAACCCTAAGGGCCTGTTCCTTCCATCCAAACACTGAGCTTCTTTGAATACACTAACTGCTGAGTGATAGCGAGGATGAAGAGTGACCAGCTTTTATCATACAGAGAAGTCCTTAAGGACATTTTCTCCTCTAATGTGGCTTCCTTAGAGGAGAGGTTAAATGTGTTACTGATGACGGGGAAATAATGTAGCTATATTGTTTTGCTCTGACTTACTTTGTTTGCATTACGATGGTCAAGATGAAGGTCCTGGGTACTAGCTATTGGAGGGCATACAGTTAAGTGGTCTCTGCCTCAGACTTCTCAAGTTAAATTGTCAACCAGACAAGATGTGGGGTGGGCAGTAGAGCTACGAAGAAAAACAGATGTGTAAGCTGTCATCCTGAGCCCCAGTTTGTTATGCTAGCTGATGAGTCCCACCCTAATGAATTTTAATTATTACTTCAGGCCACCTCAGCAGTGCAGCAGCGGTGGATCTGCATTCCCATCTACCTTTATCCTTTTGTTCCAGCACATCCTTATTCCCTTCCCTGCTTCCTGGTCCAGCACCATCCCTTTTCTGAGGAGTCTGGAAGAAAGGTTTTGTGATGGATGGATGGTTGCCCACCAGAAAATCTAATGAAAACATATCTTTCACCTGGGACTTACCCCATTGAAAATCTAGATTTGAAGTCTGTGTTACCTGCAGTGATTGCAGGTTTAAATCCTAGGTAAATTTCTGCAGAAATTCTGTTAATGGTTTGGACTGGGAAATGCAGTCTTCGGTCCTACCCTTCTGAAGCCGTGATGGAATGTGCTCTGATGGCCCAGTCCACTGAAGCAGCTTGTCTCTGTCTATTCCTGGTAGCCAAACCGGCTCACTACCCCTCTTTCCGCTTCCTATGCCTCTGTTTTTATGATCTACATGTGTCATATTTTCTGGCTAAATGGGGTGTTGTCAGTATACCCAATTCTGGTTGCTGGATGGCAGGGTGCAGGAAAGCATTGTGCTGTACAAAAGACGTTAGCTTCTTGGAGTAGAAGGAGAGTATCTGCATAGGTATAATCTGTTCTGCTTCGTCGTTCTTGCTTTGCAAGCTCATACGCTTCAGAAACCAAGCTAGTGTGGACCAGAAAGCAGAGCTTGCTTGCAGGTCCTTCGTGTGGACAGGGTTTTCATTCACCTGCATTAATGCAGCATTTGGGAAGCACTGGCTTGCAGCTGTGCTAACTACCTGCAGTCCTAGCAGCTCTTCAGCTTCTTACCTTACTGCAGGTAAAATGGATGGTGTTGGAAGGGGACCTGAACTGAGGGATTTGTTACTTGCGTACTTGTGTTATTCTCATATTCTCTGGATTTTGATTTTCCTTTGTGCACTGTTGGTGTGGGGGTTGGTCAAACTCTGAAACATTTTCAGGAGGCTGTTTAAATGTTTAAAAAAGGAGAGAGTTGTATATTATTTTTGCATAAAGTTTGGTTTGCTTATTAGAAACAATAAACTTTTGATGCTGAAAGCCCATGTACTTGCCAGTTTCCTGTTCCACCCTAGTGAGTTAAGAGGAGAGGTGAAGGCCAGAAGAGTCCTAGTTGTCCTGCTTTCTAATGACTATACCACTTGTCCCCATCACTTTGTTTAATTAGTTTGAATAGAAGGACTGTGCAGCCCAGTGAGTGACATGCAGATTCTCCTGGGGTCAGAATTGCTTCTGCTCCGCAGCTGTGTGCCAGTCAGTCTATTAAACACTTAGGGGCACATGTATCTGCGTTTGTAGCAGCTGCTTACTCTCACTGCTGGATTAGTGGTTTCTTGCAACATCCTGTGAAGTGACAAGTCTCCTTGGCCAGCTGCACTGCTGCAGGGAGACTGAACATTTGTTTGAGCCTCCTTGGCTCGCCTGCCTTTTATTGTCCTGTCAAGTAACCTCCTGTTATTTTTTCAGAGAGTTTTCAATGTTTTGTACCCAATGCCTGCTGACCAGAGAAGACACGTCAGCATAAACTCTGCTCGCTGGCTGCCTGAGCCCGGCCTGGGATTGGCATATGGCACCAATAAAGGGGACCTGGTGATTTGCCGACCAGAGTAAGTGATTGCTTTACATGGAGTTATAACTGCTTTGTCTATTCTGTTCTTAGGACAGTGGGGATAAAATGGCTTTTCACTGCCTGGGGCATTGTGCTTGAGGGACCCAAAAAACCCAACTCCTAGTACTCCTTTTGGACTGCCACAGTGTTTACCCAAGTCTCTTACAATCACTGTTTGTTTTGCTGATAATAAACTTGTGAGGCTGTTTGAAGTGCATCTCATTAGCTCATTTTTTTTCCCTTATCTTTGTAGGCTTTCTGGATCCTTTATTTCATGTGTGTCTAGTGCAGTATCTTTCAGTCTCTCTGGATTTATGGATTTCTACAACTTTCCAACGAGAACAGCAAATTTAAGCTGTTAGTGATATGCTTGCTTTCCTCAGCTTTCAGGGACCCCTTGGAGTCCGCCAACCAGGTTGAAAGCTGCTGACCTAGACTTACCAAGTACTTGTTACAGTATTCAAGCGTGAGATTCTATGAACTGCCAAGATTTTTGTCATGATTATGAGCAAGCCAGTGAATTGTTTTGGTCCTCACTTGAAAGCCAAATGATGTGATGTGTAGACTTTAACTCTCTTATTTATACAGTGCTGTGAAGGGTGTAACTGACCCTTTGTAAACCTGCAATTAAACACAAGCTAATTTAGATGTCGTGTGACACAGATGATGACTGAGCATCTGAGTGGTGAAACATGTATTGCTTTCAGTGTTCTTGGGGAGCCTCTGCACCGTACTTTGTTGAGACCCTTTTCTCCATTGTGTTGCCCAAGTGCTTCTTTTGGAGCAGTGTTTCTTTTATGCTGCACAAACACTTCAGGGATTTCTCTGCTTCAGTTATTTCCTGGTACTAAACTACCTTGGTATTCTTCTGGGTTGTGCTTCACATGTTGAAGCTCCTTGTAACTTAAAAGCTGGCAGCTAGAAACGTGCAGCACTGCTGGTGATCTTACCACATGCATGTGGACTCCATCTTCCGTGCATGAGATCAGGCACGTGGTGCTTGAGGAGTCATATGGTCAGTGTAGAACCGCTATCTTAAGTCAGAATAAATATATACAGTTGCAATAGTGACTAATTCAGTACAGCATTCTGGTGAAATCTGTGGTTGGAATTCAGATTGGGCCGATTTCAGTAGTACAGAATGCCAGCACTCTTCAAACAGCCCTCTTGTTCTCTTGAACATAATCTTTCATCAAGGCCTTATTTATACATGAAGTTCTACAAGATATTATTATGGAATAAGCTATAATCACTCTCCTTGAGGATAAGTGGCTTTCTTCAAGAATAGTTGCTGTACTTTCTAAGCAGAAGAATTATTCAGGAATAATGGTTCTCTTCTCAAACTGTAGAGAGTTTTTCTAAGTTATTTTCAGTATAGAGAAGTGATAATATCTAGTCTACTGATTATGGCTGATGAGATGGACTTAGACAAGAACGCAGGGAAATGAAGTCTCCCTGATGGTGGATGCTTTGATTGAATGCTGCAGAGTCAAGCTTGGTCTGGATGTCCTGGCTTGCCACACCCCACATTAGGTATCTATTCTGGTGCTTGCAGTAGCCCCAAGCTAAGTAGTGTGTCTCTTCTTGGCACCTCACTAATTAAAGACATAACAGGAACACTTTCATGGTATGTTATGGAAGCACTGTCAGTCCTTCTGCAGCATCTCTGTGAAACCTTCTCAGCTCACCATGTTGCTAGGGCACTCTTCTATCTCCTTACTTCTATCCCAGCAACCATCATGCACAATTGCAACAAAAATAAACTTTTTGTATATGAACATGAAACAAAGTGGCTGTAGAGGGGGGAGATTTATTGGTGGTTTGACAGAAATGCTTCAACAGGTTTCCTGCTGGTGGATTGGAGTGACTGATGCTTCTGGGGATTATTGCAGACCTCACGTGGACTGGTGGGTTCTTTTTGGAGCAGGACACCTGATATGTTCTGTTCTCAGCTGCACCATTTTGTAGACCAACAACAGCCAGAGTGACTTAAAAACCTCTGCATGAAGGTGTAGATATTCACCGAGCTGAATAATTTGCATTGAGGCTCTAACATCAGAACACATGAATGAGTGAGGCTCTATCAGAGCAGAAGTGGCTTGTGACTGTGGTGTCCGCCCCAGATCTACTTGGAAGATGCACAGAGAAAGGAAAAATCCCGACATGTAGATGCCATCTCAGTAGTTCTTGGCTTAATAGACTTGGTTTGAGGTTGGCATATCTATTGACTCTAACTTGAGAAGTGAGGGAGAAAGCTGAAAAATATTTGTGTAGTTTCCATATGCAGTAATGCAGAGGAAGAGAAATATTAAAAAGAGGATTCGGCAATTGATAGAGTACTATATGGGGGATAGCCCAGCAAACAGCAGGGATCAAGAAAACACTGTACTGCTGAAAACACCCCCACTGTTCTCATTTGGCAAAGAAAACTGGTCAGTAGCAAACAACTGAGGTGGTTATAATTCCGAGTCTTTATTCCCATGTACAATGGAGGCATTTGAAGCCAAGTACTGGAGGGATCACATAAACAGGTTGGAATAGCAACTGTGCCTCAAATACAGGATTTGAAAAGCACGTGCTTAGGGAAAATTAGATGAGTAGACTGTAAATACAATTTGACCAAAAAAAAAAAAAGCATAACTTGAAGCTCCCTGGGCTCATAATGAGAGGCTATGCAAGTAGTTCTTCCAGAGTTCTAAAGAAACAGTAATTAAAATCAAATGTTTTGGGCTACGTTGCTAAGTTGGGTAGCACTGATGGCAGTTTTTCTTGCAAATGGAAATGGGGAAGGTCAGGTTATGTTGGCAATCCATAACATGAACTCAGTGCACAGATTTATGGGGTAAGTTTTGAAGGAAAGGAAAATTAAAACCATGGAAAGCAGGATTGAATGCATTGTGATTTGACTAAGGTAGAGTATAGCAGGTTGGATACCTGTCCTTGAGAATTTTATGTATTTATTTTTAATTAAAGGGTCAACTAAGGTCTTGCTCCAGGTCTAATACCTCTGCGTTTTAGTAAGGCAGTTCCCATGTTGGAACTGCAATAAATCTGGTTAATTTGTAAAGAATTAGGATTAGAACAAGATCTGGTAAAGAGCAGGTGAAGGCCTGGCTAAAGGAAAGAATACAATATGATTGAGAGCTGGACTCTGTTACAAAAGAGGTCATTGATGGACTTCTTTAAGAACCTGTTCTGGGGGTGGTTATTAATACTATTTACACTAATGCCTCGTAAGGGTGCACTGAATAAATTTGCAGAGGATGTAACATAAGCCTTGTCATTGCAGAGAAAGATCAGAGTATTGCAGAAGAACTGGGTTGCCTTGAAAGTGACTGGAGCTATAGAAATGAGATAGAATTTAATAGTACAAAGTGCACTTAGTGACTAATAACACTGAGCTCGGTAGTTAAAATGGCAGAGGAGGAGAAAGACCCGAGGTTTTAGTTGATCGTAGGTGACTGAGCCATCAATACATGAGTCTGTAAAAACAACAAATTTAGTTGTAGGATGAGACACAAGATGCTTAACAGAAGAGATAGCAAAATGTTATTATCACTGTAGAAGAAACTAGATACATAAGCCAGAACAGTTTAAAATTTGCATATCCATATTCAGAACTGCCTTTGAACTGGTGCGGTAGTTGAAAAGAGCTGCTAGTGGGGTCAGTGGAGCGTTTTTATCTAAGAAAACTTGCAGCTTGAGGTCTTCAGCAGGGCTAAAAAGGAGGGCTAAGAAGCCTTCTATAAATCTCCAGGAAAAGGGAACTATTTAAATGTATATATTTTTTTATTAGAGAACAAAGAGGCATAAATTGACTATGACTAGGTTGTGGCTGCGAACTAGAGAAAGGTGGCTAACCAGCTGATTTCTGCAATAGCCGATACGTTGGTTGGGTGGATGCAAAAGGCTTAGCTGTTTGGAGATGCAGCTTGGCTGGCTTGCAGAGACAGGTCTATGACTTGAATACTTGTGACTGGGGGTGGGACTGGACTGCCGAGCCGTGAGGCACTTTTTCAATATTTTGAACCCAAGGTCCATGTCTAAGCAGGTGTTGACAAGTTGGCTCTCAGAGCTGTTTTGCTGTGGAGAGGTGAGGTGGTGACAGCAGTGTTCATCCACACTTCGAAATGCACCTAATGGGCCTGAAAGCAGCGTGTAAGAGACTGTAATTCATGAGCCAGTACAGTAGCTATGAGGATAGAATAAATGTTTTTATTAGCCAAAGATATAACCCCTATCAGGGTTGCATTCGGGTGAGTAAAGGAAAGAAAGGACATTGTGTACCTTCTTCCTTAGATTTCAGGGTGGCACCCAGCTCACTAAACTGTGCTATTGAAAAGCATCAATTTGTTTGCTCTGCTTTTTATGTGATTAAATTGAAAGAAACTTTTAATGTAACATCAGGAAAGTTCCTCCTTTCCCAAACACTCAAAAGGCTGACCAACTTATGTTGTTTACTAATATGTTAGTTTGAACATGCAGTATTAGATACAGACTTGTATTGAAAACCCAGAGATCCCAATTGTCAGTGAATAAATACTATTCCAAGTAAGGATAACGAATAGCAAAGATGGTGAAGCTTGTGTTCAGCAGTGTTTGCTTGTCCTTCATATGTTCTTTTCTTTTGCTTGTTTAGCTGCTGGTTTCACTTGCTTGCGAATAAACTATCTATCTTAGAGCAGGTCTCTATGACCTGTTTAAAACTTTGTCTACTTTTGATGCTGAATTACTGTCCTTTTGAGGAATGGTCTGTGTGAAAGAACCCAAGGGACTGGGTTCCTGTGGGACAGGAACCCAGCTTTTGGAAACAACTTCCTCTGCAAGTGACCAACAGGACAAGCAATTTACTTTTCACAAGTCTGATCTTTCATTTTTGTTTGAAAAAATCATCAGCCACCATGTAAGAGAAGGAGTCACTGGGAGAACGTTCATGGAAGTGACTGTTGGGGACAGAGCACAAAGTGCAGGAAGCTGATATGAAGAGAGACATCTGCG